AACCATACCCAAAATCTCCCAGGTTCAAGATAGCTGTTATTGAAGGTGTTGGAATCCAGGATGACTGCTGGGTGCGAAAATTGTTCTTCTCGACTAGGGGTCCAAGGGCTTCGGGCATTGAGCGTGCAAAGAGTTTAGCCTTCGGAATACGGTATCGAGCCGTCCTCTGACTTCAAGAAGAGGAGGTTCGCGGAGACATCCTTCAAATTCTTGATCTGGTCGAACCACTGCCCGGTGATCTTGTTGGCCCGGGGTGCCCAGGCCTCTTTCTTGCCGTCCGCCAAAACCAACTCGTCGAACAGCTCCGGGCTGCGGACGTGAATCTTCCTGAAGTGGCGGAATCCGGAAGCCAGAAGCCTTGAGCCCGCAGCCTCGACGCCCTAGCCCGGAAGCCGGAAATCGGGCCGGCCACCATTCCTGTTTCGCGGGGCCGGCCTTCCGAACCCCAATCCCCATGTGGAGCCCTTCCCTCGTAACCTGCAGAACAAGTTAGTAAGCCCTTCTGGCCACCCAGTGCGGGTCCAAGGATCGCCGTCCTGCCCTCTTGTCCTTTCGGCTCTCCCGGGAGCGACCTTGGTGACAAGGCAAGCTGTTGAGACTTTAGTTTTAGGGCCTAGGGCCTAGGGAGTCCAATTAGATCTCAGACTCCGCCAAAAGAAACTACCAAACAACGAAATACTCCAGAGGCCAGCGTCCAGATGTTGTACGTTGCCCATAAGAAGTCTGCCGGCTCACGCACCATCAAGAGCAGCTTGACTTTGCCCGGCCACCGTGATGCAAGCATCTGTCAGGGATGTCGTTTTGGGTTTCGAGTGGTTTCGGGTGCAGTCATGAAAAGCTTGCCACTACAGATAGCTTCTGTTCCAGAACAAGCCACTCCCTTGTCAAAGAAGGAGGGGTCTGTGACGACCAGTGTCGCCGGCATGGACGTGTTGTACCAGCCCTTGATCTTCTTCACGAGACGATCGCACTCTGTGAAGGTCGGCACTTTGAATTCGAACTCGTCGCAGACCTTGATCAAGGGACGACCCGTAGGCAATTGCAGCGCTTTTGCCAGGGCGAAGACTGACTCCTCAAACTCGATTTGCAGATTGGGCATCGCACCCACCTGAATTGAAAGGGTGACAATGTTGGGATGCGATTCCAGAAGGCTGTAAATTCGTTTCGTGCCACAGGTCCGAAATCCTCCGATAACCACCAGATTCGATGGTGCAGGCTCCTGGGACAGTCGCGAGCTAGAGGGCTCGCTACACTTCTTGTTGGGGAGATGACTTGTTTCAGCTTGCACATGAGTGTTTGGGGCATGCAGGCTGCTGCTTGGCATTTACGTGGCCCAGCGTGGTTATAACCACAATCAGGTATGCGCCTGCAATGCCAAGGATGGCCTGGGCATAGGCGTCGTGGATGATCCAGTCACGGGGTCCACGCATTCGTCATGCTCTCCCAGGCAGGCACTGTAGTGAACCCCGAAGGAATCCAACTCTTCGCAAACATCCCGCGACTTTGAGTAAATGAAATGCCTGGCAGCGTGAGGCGGCATGGGCCGCCCACACACACACACACACACAGAGAATAATAAACGTTCTCCACAGCTTGTTTTCGACACCCAATTCCCGCGAGCCGCCTGGTGCTGCACAGCATGGGCCTCCACCCGGAAATTTCATATCTGGCCTGCCTGGTTGCTCAGCAGAAAACTGTTTTCGATGTGCTTGAGAAAAAATGCAACAAACAGAAACCATAAAGTCGAAACACATCCTACAAGGAAGAACCAAGGACTGTCATATACGGACATAACAAACCAAAACAGGATTTTCCGGTATATTATCACACAGGTGTACATGCACGACAGGATGGTATTAAGAAATACCAGATTATCCAAACCCATACATTCGGTCTCCCTGATATGGTTTAGACAGCAAGGCTATCACACCCCCACACACCCACAACACACAAACACATTCTTTCCGACAAACATTTCATAACCCGAATCCCCCCATATTTTACAACATACCATCAACGCCTCCCCCAACCCCAGGAAATAAAGCTTCAAACCCCATACCTACCAAAATCCGAAAACAATATACCCAAAAACCTTCAAGCCCTAAGTTATGATCCCTCTACTTCAAAGAAAAACCAGAACCCCAGAGACGAGGTACAGACCGATGGTACGGCTTCGGGCCACCTCCGGGCTACACTTCAATGCTTCGATGATCAAGCGGCGTCGGGTTTAGGGCCTATGGTCGGAGGATCCGGGGACGTAGTGCATGTTGGTAAGTAGAATATGAGTATGGTAAACCGCGATTAAAATCCCTATGACATTTGCGAAGTCGCCTTAACCGTCAAAGTCCTATCGGTATTTGAGTCTTCCAAAAACCTTGGTCGAGCATCATGATATAAATTGTATTCAGGATCCCTCTGCACTTTTAAAGTCCACAGGGCATTTTTTGATTTTCGGGTTCGGATTTATCGGGCTTTCAGGTGTTACGGGTTAAGACACGGGTCGCTTCAAGGGTTCCTTAAGGCTCTACGCGTGTTGTAAACCGAGCTCGTTGCTTGAAGGTGGAACGTTTTTGGGTTGTGTGGCTCTGCCATATAGGTTTGGGGTTCAGGGGGTTCAGGTGTTAAGGTCTATAAGACGTATGTGACGATATAAGTTTGAAGTTCAGGGTTTTAACATCTACTTGGAGGTCCCAAAGACGTAGTTGACGCGCAGGGGTTTCCAAGTAAGATAACCACATTGAATATGATGACCTTCTGACCAAACAGGTAAAGCTTTCGGATGGGCTTCCGGATGTAGGTATTGTCACCGGTCTCTACATCCGAAATCCCTAATCCCTAGACTCGCCTCGCTTGACCCTAGCCTAAACCACTGAACCCTTACTGCACCGACCTGCTTCGAAACATGCATATAGCCTACCCGGACTCCAGGGTATGCGGTAGTATAGTGGACAGGGTATGGCAAATCTCATCCGCTGCGCACATCACATGTCGGCTGACTTTTTGGTCACCATGCGGTTGATCGTGACAAAACCTGAGGCGATGCTGAATGTGGTCGTGCATCGAGTAACCCCGCGGCTTGAATGATGCGCCGCTAAGTAGGCGGTTCCTTCTAAATCTTGAAGACGAACGACCTTTCCAACTTTGAAGGCTTTACCAATTTCCGCATCAAGTGTTTGTTGCCTCTTGCATCCCGCTTCCAGCGGATCATCCACGTCTATGACGCTTACCCGTTGCTCATCGGGAATCAACACGCACCTGTCATACACATTCACGCGATAGCCCCGTTTCTTCACGAGCACCTCGAGAAGAGACCGCCTCCACCAAGAAAGACCGCTCACCAGGCGGCAGATTGCCGTAGATTTCGCCGTTCAGCAGGATCAGACGGTCCTTCTGACAGCTTCGAAAACTCCGCCAGCAAACATTTTTCTCTGCCAGCTTTTGAGTTTGGAGGTGCATTTTGTTTTGGAATTCTTTTTTCTTTTTTTTGGATTTGATTTTTAAGGGTTTGGGGCTTAGTGCTGTATT